TCGGCAGAGAATGGAAATATATATTTTTTCGGGGAAAAATATCTTGTTATACCGTGAAAAAGTATATTTTTTTGAAATCAAGGGGTAAAAAATGTAGAAAACAAAAAAAATATAGTATCAATACATTATTTTTATTTTTGCCCTTTTTTGTCATATTTGCAAACCTGAATTTAAGGTAAGTAAAATGGTATTTACTTCTGTTCTTATTTCATTTTTTAAAACATAGAATTTTGCATGAATATTTAATATAATATTTAGCTTGTTATTTGATTTATTTCTTATTACTAACATTTATTATATTAGTATACAACTTATACATCAGAATCAAGAAAGCATAATCTAAATTTCATGATTGTTGACCTTTTCAAAGACGTTTCTCAAGTATATTTTTATGTCACTTCTTTTTATTCTGAAATTTTAGTTGCGATGTTATGTGAGATTTTAATCTTAAACAAGTAATATAAAAAAATTAAGTCAATTCCTACTAAGAAACAACAAAGAAAAATTTTTATTTTAGTTACTTTTTATCAAATAATTACAATTAATATAAAAAAGTATATAAGCATGACAGAATCACAATATTAAGTGACAATTAATTTTTTATTAATTATCATTAAGGTATATTGTCAAACAAAGCAATCAAGTATATAAAATTTCAGTTCAACTGAATGCTTTAAAACGTGAGAAAAAAAATTCTCTTCAAGTTTTGATCCAAGTCGCTAAAAATGAAGCCAACATTTCTGTATCCAAAATTATTTAAATAATTAGTTTCAGTCAATTAATTTTTTAATTATAATTAAATTTTTATTGTCACCCCAAAAAAATCGTATATTGAAAATTTCATCTCAAATGAGCGCTTTAAAAAGTGGGGAAAAAACCCTTTTTGGGGAAAGTTTACACAAGTCGCTAAAAAAAGGTCCCAAGTGCCAAAAAATGATGCCAACGTGGCTGTGTATCAGTAATTCTTTGAATAATTAGATTTAATCAATTATTTTTTATTAATTATGATTAAATTAACGTATTTTCATCCCAAATAATCGTGCATATAAGATTTCACAACAGCTGAGGGCTTTAAAATATTTTTTATTTACAATTGAACATTTGAACAACATAAATATATATATAGAGAGAGAGAGTGACCAAATTGAAAAAGAAATTGAAAAAGAACTAGTTAAACATTTGTTACGCTGAACATTTCAAACTTTTAAAGGTAATTATAATTATTATGTCATACCTAGTATTTTTACCAATGACATCACAAGCCAATTTTAATTATTAAAAAACTAATTAACTGATATCAAGCACTATTAAATGAACTGAAAATTTTATTTCAGTTAATTCCTCTAGGAAAAAAAATTGTTGATCCTCTAGGAAAAAAAATTGTTGAGAAACTGACAATAAAGTAATTTAAAGACTAATTGAAGATGTCACAATGAAAATATGTATAATTTTTTTCCTAAATAAAGTTTTCGTTAACTTCGAAATAAAACTGAAGAAAAAAAAAATTCCAAACCATCTCATTTTATTTTTATTTTTATCCTCAGGTATATTATCATAGTTATTTAAAATTTTACACACACACATACACATATGATAATTATTTACTTTTGGCAAATGACTCTTTACTGTAGTTTCAGCGCATTATAATGGGGAATCCGATTCATGTATAAAATCTCAAGTGCTATAGTAATATTTTCATGGCAATATGGTTTTCTCAGCCCAAGTGATCTGTACTGATGTCTTCCATTAGTATAAGCAGATGCCGCTATTTTAGAAAGGACGAGCAAATAGCTCAAATGAAAAAAAAATACAATGTTTTCCCCCTTTTACATTTGTTGGGGTACCCTTGAAAAAGTTAATGGTTGATAAAACGTGAATGCACAGAACATCAAGAAAGCTTAGTTTGACTGAGAGGGAGGACAGAATGATCATAGATCGCTGCTCACAGCTCCTGATACATCTCTTTGAATGAGTTAAGATATGCAAACGAAACAACAGTATTTGCAATGATCTTTGATAGTTGACTCAATGATGGAAAACTACGGCAATGGAAATCATTATATAGATTGTCTTTTCCTGTTACACATCGTATTATGGCTTCAACATTGTTATGTTTCCTACTGAATACTGAGAGTAACTGAGTAATGTGTCTGGAGACTGTGGAAACTGTAATGTGTCTGTGTGGAGATAATTACCTGACTGGTTTCGTCAGTCCAGACAAACCCCGACAGTCAAGAAATAAGGCATTAGGTATCATTTATTTTACATGAGCTCCACTCTTTAAATAAAGTTCCATAAAACTCTCACAACAAAGTAGTTCGTTGACGGGATTCTAAGCCCATAGTTTTCCCCTTCATTTCATGGACCTTTGTTCTTGCTTATATTTCAACAGGATAATACCAGGATGTACACAGAAAACTAACTTCTTCGTACTTCTTCATCACTTTCCTCACCTGTGTGATCGTCAGATAATTAGATTTAACGCAAATACAATTAACAGCAATTTTAAAATTAGAGAATTAGGCGTATTCGACCATCCCTTGAGCGGCCCGTTGTAATTCGCTAACTCAAACTGGTTTGGCTGGAGTCTATGCAACACAGACCACTTCTGTGTTGTATGTGTATATTCTCCACCTTATTTTCTGCTAGAGCACAGTGAAAGAAAAAAATATCTCCGTTTCTTCAATAGGAATTGTACGACGTTGTTGACTTGTAGTTCCAGTAATATGAAACAGCCCATTATGTCCGAGATTAGCGAAATTATCCAGATACATTATTTTTGATTCAATGGATTGGGCAAGGTCGTTTTGTAGCTTGGCTACCTCTCATGTTAAATAAATAATATGTATGGTTTTTTTTGCATGAGGCCCCCACTTAATCTACAGAACTCAACATCAAACCTTCGGCCACCGCAGCAGAATTGCATGATACTCTTGGTATTTTCACAGGGTTAAACAATCCTTCGTGCGACGTTGTACCGTATCCGTAACTACCACTGGCCACTAATTTGAAAGTTTATTCTAATCAAATGTTATTAAACATGTGTTTGTTGAAACTTAAATCATTCTTTGAGAGTTTTTTTTACGAATAACAACACCGACATCGGTTCCTTCTTGTGTTGCAGGGCCAACCATTCACTATTTGTTAAAACTTGCTTATTTGAATGAGTATTATCACCCATTAAGGATTTGTCCATGTTTCATAAAACATCCTTATGCATATTTCTGTTAACCTCACTATGAAACAAATAGAAAAAAATAGCATAAAGTTAATTTTAAACTTAAATCAAAATTTTTTAATGTTTCATTTTGCATTTATTCTCAAATTTATACAAATTTCTCCCATTTATTTTCCATTAATACACACACACACGTAATGAAACACACAAACACGTTTATAGTTTGAGAGATCTAATGAAAATTAATTAAATTTGAACGCATAATTTATTGATTATTATTTATTTATCAATTTATTAATTGCAATGATGACTAGACAAATGCTTGAAATTCATTTGGAATGAAATTACTCAAAATAAATTTTTTATATGCTGGTGTGTTACATTTAACCAATTACATAATAAAAAAGATTAGATTGGTAAAATTTTAGTTCCTAAGGTATCTTTGAAAGTTATACTTTATTCAATGGATCTTATAAGAAGAAGCCATTCATTATAAGACATTCAGCAAAACCTAATTGATTTTTTATAAGTATTCAGATAAAAATCGAAATAATTTATTTTCAAAATATTCTAAAAATGTATTTTATTATTTCATATTCTTAAAGTGTTTTGATATGTAAACGAAACATTGTCTTAAAAGTTTTCAGAGCCAATTTTTTTCGCATGAAATACCTTTAAATTTAATATAAACGTGTTAAAAATCCTGGGAAAATATAAAGGATGTTGAGTTTACACATAAATAAACATGAGTGTTGACTCCCTTGCTCTACAACCCTGTGGTCTACTAGTTGATTGTTTTACTCCCTCCGTATAGTTTATAAAGTTATAAAACTATAATTAGCAAAATAAAATTTAATGTTCAATACAGCGTAACCTGCAATTTTATAGCCTCATAGAAAAGTTTCAAAATCTTTTTTCGTAAGAAAATTAGCAAATTTTAAACCTTTTTTTATATGAAATAAATCTCTGTTAGTCTTATTAATTGCTAAATGATCAATTTACGGAAGTAAATGTCAAAGATTTTCAGTGCTGCACAATTTGTATGTTTTTTTAATGCTTAATTTCATCATATGTTTAATTTTCCAGAAGAGAGATAAACATATAAATATATGAGAACTGAGTCAAATCAGAGTTTGTACCAGTATTTTGTGATGGGTGATCGTCAAATATTATAAAAATCATCTACTTTATTTAATCTATCCTCAACTTTGGATATCTCAAAAGTAAATATGCAAGTGGAGCAAAATTAACTATGTAACACGATCCAAAGCAATAAATATCTCTTAACATTCGCTAACAGCTCTGAGCTTAGATTTCATAAGTTCTAGCACCAGAAAAACATCTGCAATTGTTTCTCTAAGTCAAGTTTGTATCTAAATTGAAAAGTTCCTATATAACAACTAGATACTGAACAACACATTATTTAACGCTTAATTCATAATCATACCTTATACAGGATTTTTGTCGAAGCTGACCGAAACATTTAGAGGGGAGATTGTAGACAGCATGGGGACGACAAATCAGCATAGTACAGGGGGTCGTAATCCACGTTCACTTGGTGAAAATCGCTCTAATATTTGTCGTCTAGAGGACGATATGTCAGACGAAGGGAGTGGGCAAACGTTTGTAGAGATTTGGAGTGCCGGGGGATAAGTTTGAAGAAACCTGTTTGTAATCTGGGATAATCATACAGCATGGGCGTTGTCGATGTCCAGTATCATGAAAATCGACCAACTTGGGTAGGAATTGAAGCCGCAGCCTTAAGTGTAAAAGGCCAGTGACAAACCAAGTACGCCACACAGCCGGCAAAAAAATCCAAGTACACTCGCTGTTCCCAGATGGTCACCCTCTTAAGTACTGACCACGCCCTATGATGCTTAACTTCGGTGATCGGAGGAGAACTGGTATATTCAGCATGGAATGCCGTTGGTGAAATAAAGGTTATACAAGAAAAAATTACTTGCGTTGTCCAGGAGAAATGTACAATTTACATGTGCAAGATTCAATTACAAATGTGAAGAGAGAAAAATGGTCGCTTGAGGTTATCTCTACCAGTTAAAATAACGTAAAAATTTATCTTTAACTGTAAAAATACAGAGAAAAAGATAAAAGTAAAACTCTTCAGTGAAAGAATTTGTGCTTTAAATATTTTCCTACCTTTTTTATTTTTTCTCGAGATCAGGCAAAAATACTTCTGTGAAACCAGACAAATAAATGAAGAAGTACGGAAGTCGGAAATTCTTGCTAGTTTTATTTTTTGAATTAATCTCATGGGAGTCAGTAAATTGAAACGGAATTTGTATTGCAAAGAATCTTCAGGTAAGTCAACGACAAATAAATCTTAAGAAAATATTTGAAAATAGTTACGAAAAAAAAAGACAGTAAAATACATAAGATTTCTTAATTTTGCTTAACGTTGCGTTTTTTCTCTTCGCTTTTTATATATTTATTTTTCTTTTAGAGAAAGTTTAAGGAAACAGATTATGTCATTTATTCTTTTAAAGAGAAAACATTAGTACAATCTTAAAACTAATTTAAGAAAATACTGTTGAGTATTCTCCAAAGATCAAATAAAAAATTATGTGGTTAAGGTATCCGACTACGTTCGGAATCATGATTTTAAAAAAGCGCATAAATGTATAATTTTCATGATATTTAGTATCACTTCGATTAGAATACATGTATAAAATTGTTTTAAGGACATTATGACAAAAAAAAATTATTTAAATACATTATTTTGGTAAAAAATTAACTTAGAATAACCTTTTTTCCAAATGTTCTCCTTTTTTAAAAATGCTTCTATTGTATTAATATTTTTCCTGTATATAGCTCAGACCTCTGTACAGCGGCTCAACTATGATTTTTAAAGATTCACATTATTTTTCAGGTTACAACCATTTTTAAATAATTATCGGCGTATTTTCTTAAATTTCTACATTCTGTTTCGTAAAACATGGATAAACCGACTTCCCAAATTATGCATTTCAAAATTCTAGTTGAGCCTCTGTACAGAGGTCTCAACTATATACAAACAAAATATTAATACAATAGAATTTTTACAATAGGAGAACATTTGAAAAAGGGGTTTTTCTAAGTTCATTTTGTCAAATATTGTATTAAATAATTTATTATTGTAATCCTATTCTTAACCCAATTTTATATACATTGTCTAATCTAAGTGACGCTAAATATCATAAATATTATCCATTTACACGCTTTTGCAAAATCACGGTTCCGAACGTAGTCGGATACCTTAACGAAATCCCGTTTATTTATTTGGTTTTTTTTTTTTCAAATTGTACTGCATAATACACAATTTAAGGGGCATAGTACTGCTGCGAATGATAGGATGCCAGTTGGGGTGTCGATTTCATCGTCTTCCCTGCTGTGAATTAAAATAAACTTAGATTCCAAACAAGTCTTATTATTGTAAAGAATAAAAACAGTTGGGAAAAAATTTC